AAGAATGGTAAAACTTACTGACGATGCCGACTAAGATGCCGGCGAAACGTCTGGGAATGTACCACGTCCAGATTCCGACTTTGGAAATAATTATGGATACAATGGACTCAAGACAAGGTGCGTTTCTATAAGTCTTCCTACCATTATGAGCAAGTTGCGAAAATAGGGTCAAACAACTTCTATTAAAATCCAGGTCGAATTTAAGGATAGTGGCTACATAGTTAAGTAGAGATTGCTTGAGTAGTTTTGCAAAGATCACCAATAAGCATACCAAATATTCATCATGGGCCAATGCTTAATATGTATGATGGAGGATGACGCAATTTCTTACCCGATCAAATTAATTTTCGAAATGCAGTGAAAATTTACCATGTTATTAAAATTGTTTGACCTTGCTTTCGCAACTTGGCCATATTGGTAGGAAGACCTAGAGGAATGCACTTTGTCCGGAGTCCATAATATGCATGATAATTTCCAGTCGGACCGTTGACTTGGTACATTTACAGACGTTTCGCTGGCATCTTCAGTGAGCCTTGCCATTCTTAGCACCACACTACAGCTCGTCAAAGAGACATGTGAAGTCGATCCATTGACCAAATGTATGCTGAACAGTTGTTGTATCTCTACTTCTGTCCTGGGCTATTTACCTATCCTATTTCCTCGTATCACCCCTTCAATATCACTATTTCTTACTTGTTTATCTAGAACTATTTGAAATTTACTCACTCTCCGCCAGTTTCCCCATCCCTCCAACTAAGCCGAGAGTGTTGATCAAAGGCTGCGGTTAAATCTGCAATCCTCTCTCTTAGGGTCCTATCAGAGTCATCTCTTGTTTCGTAGGATCCTTCCCTTATCTGCTTCTTTCAGTTATTTCACTCCATTAGTGCCACCGTATCCGTGCTACTCAAGGCGCTATTATACTCTCTGACTAAAGCCTTTGATAGCACGTATACACCAGCCTTACTGAGCAAGCCCTCCTCCTCATTACTTCTATGAAATCACAGAATTTGGAAAGATCTATAAGTAGTTTAAAATAAGTACAATTACTATATACTAGAAGGAAAAGGATAAGAGGGAATCGGTATAAGAAAAACAAACTTGAAGGCGAAATCGAGTCTCTGAGATATCTAGATCAAGGCAGGCAACCGTCTCGATGCCCGGCAGATCTATCTCAACGCGGAGTCGATCGGGACGAGGGGGCTGACCAGTTGAAACGTTAATGTTAGCAGCTGCAGATGCGGAGAGGAGAGACTGAGTAGAATAGTTGAGCATGTCAAAGCCGCTTACGTGTATGATGCGACAAAGTGGGCACGCGGGAGAAGCTTATAAGGGTGAAAGGAAAGAGATTAGCTAATCGAAAGAACGGAGAAAATTAGCATGTGGCTGATTAATTAACACTTCTGCTCCATACAAGTAGTCTAATAAGCTTAGTTCTTATTCTAGGCATCCACCATTTTTTCTGCTAAGATATTTGATTAAGCCCTCCAACTTAAGCCTAATGCACTTAAAGCCAATCAACGAGAATGCGCCAAAAGTATTCAGGAACTTATAAAGAATTTTCCTCGACATATTAAGGCAGTTATTTGAAGACAGTTTTGAGAATAAACTCTGTAAAATGTTTATAGATGCCTTCAGTAAATCCATAATTCTAACTCCATGCTGCCTGATAGAGCCAATCTGCCCAACGAAGTCAATTTTTCTCGGTAATCAGCATCTTTTTTCCCTGATCAGAATAACAATGTCAAAAGACAAATTTAAGCTTCAATTTTGAAGAAATATCTGTATAAACATTCAGAAATAAAATACCATGTAATTATATGATCTAATTGAAATATTATTGGAATATACAGCAACTTTAAATAAACACCCAAAAGTTTTAGGTACTAGTAAATATAGAAGGTATGAAGACCAAGATGATGTGGCCTTTAGCGTGGTCGCAGTCTCCTTTCATTGTATGGAAGTTGTTTGACCTTGTTTTCGTAACTTGGTTATATTGGTAGGAAGACTTAGAGGAACGCACCTAGTCCGGAGTCCATTGTATGCGTCATCATTTCCAGAGTGGGAACGTGGACGTGGTACATTCCCAAACGTTTCGCCGGCATCGTCAGTGAGTCTCGCCATTCATAGCACCATAGTACAGCTCGACAAAGAGACAAGTGAAGCCCATCCTCTAACAAAACATATGCTAAACAGTTGTGGTATCTCCCCTTCTGCCTTGGGCTATTCACATTTCCTATATCTTCCTATCATGCCTTCCCTGTTACAGTTTTTACCGTGCTTATTTTTAATGTAGTGTGGTGTGCTCCTTCGAGCCGCATTCATGAAAACCCTTCACACTCTACG